AGACTTTAACACATACCTTTACTAATTATGTGGGATGTTGTTAATCACAAACTTTTTATACCACTGGATGAAAATTTAATTGAATTCATTAGAAATTTCCAAAAACTATGTTTCGCAATCATAGTTAGTACATAATACATATCCTTTTATTTTTAAATAGAATGGATTTATATCCAGTAGCATTCTCACTGAAAACAATAATGTATTTCTATTCATTAAAATGTATTTACCAAGGCCGGGCGCGGTGGCTCACGTTTGTAATCCCAGCACTTTGGGAGGCCGAGGCGGGTGGATCACGAGGTCAAGAGATCGAGACCATCCTGGTCAACATGGTGAAACCCCGTCTCTACTAAAAATACAAAAATTAGCTGGGCATGGTGGCGCATGCCTGTAATCCCAGCTACTTGGGAGGCTGAGGCAGGAGAATTGCTTGAACCCAGGAGGCGGAGGTTGCGGTGAGCTGAGATCGTGCCATTGCACTCCAGCCTGGGTAACAAGAGTGAAACTCTGTCTCAAAAAAAAAAAAAAAAAAGTATTTATCAATAACTTATATAATAAAGTAAACAGCATGAATATAAACTAGTCAATGTATCTCTATTACCTGTGTTATGATTTGCCTTTATGGATATAGTGTTTTAATTATTAAATGCAGAAATATGATATTCACAGGAGATTCTAAAAATGATTCCATTTGATAGTTAGTGTTATATTCATTGGTATTTTCTTTGCAATCTGGATCCAGCATCAGGAGATAAATTGGCCCTTGTCTGGGTGTTCTGTAACATAGTGTCAGAATATCCTTTTACTGCAGTATTCAGACTTATAGATTTTGATAAGGCTAAACTCATAGTTCAAATTCTCAAATGCTACGTGTACCAATCTCAACAAAACTGAGTACCGTTCTATGTTAGGCATCATGCTACCAATAATTCATGACCTTCACTCCTTGCTATTGGTAAGATGTGTGTAAGAAGCGCTATCATAATCAGCTGTATAAATGGTCAAAATTCAATAATTTTATTTTATACAGGAAGCACTTGGAACCCATATAACACCCTAGGGGTAGTTTATCAATATATTATGGGCTAAAGAAGAAAGTTGCAGGGTAATTATTTTTTTGAGACGGAGTTTCACTCATGTTACCCAGGCTGGAGTGCAATGGCGCGATCTTGGCTCACTGCAACTTCCGCCTCCTGGGTTCAGGCAATTCTCCTGCCTCAGCCTCCTGAGTAGCTGGGATTACAGGCACGCACCACCATGCCCAGCTAATTTTTTGTATTTTTAGTAGAGACGGGGTTTCACCATGTTGACCAGGATGGTCTCGATCTCTTGACCTCGTGATCCACCCGCCTCGGCCTCCCAAAGTGCTGGGATTACAGGCTTGAGCCACCGCGCCTGGCCTTGAGCCACCGCGCCCGGCCTAGGGTAATTATTAAATATTCTTTAAATTTATTTTATTTTAAAAAGTAAATAAAATACTCTTGCCAAAAAATACCCAAAAAACAAAAACAAAAAAACAAACAAAAAATACTCTAAAATGCAAATCCTCCTTCCAAGATCCACAGTTTTTATTTTATTGAAACTCATAACCTAAGCAAGTGCAGGATGCCCTGCAGCTACCCTCGTATACTCTAGTATACTGTTTCCAAGTGTTATCTCACTAAAATGAGAATCATCATCATATGTTATGATAATCATCATCATCATCATAAATAGTGATAAGTGTCATAACTGACAGAAACTGTCACAGTTAAAATTCAGGCAAAAAATCATCACTGTAAAAATTGCTTAAATTGCTGAACTGGTGGAGATGAAAAGCTGTGAGAAAAACCAAACTAGTATCTAAAAAGTAGCTGTGAAAAACATCAGGAGTTAAAGTAACTGTTGCTGAAAGAGTTATGTCTAAAAAGGATAGCATCAAACATGCCGAAGGCCATTTCTGTTCTTGGAACCATAATAATAAGCTTCATGAGAGCAGAAACAGCATATTTCTTACTATTATCCACTATTTTACATAGAGCATAGCAAGACCCTGAAACACAGGTAAGAAATATTTATGTAAAACCAGGTAATATGAAACATAGTATTCTTGTATAATCTTACTTTTTCCTTTCAAAATTTTAGAACTGTGGGCACATGATGAAAAATGATTGAGGAAGTATCTAATTAAGTCTCTAACAAAACATTTCTTTGTTGAATACCTAAATTGAGAATTGGGAGAGTACAGGTAATAAGTTTGAGGACACCCTTTCTCTCCTATAAACTCGTGTCCTAACCTCCAGTTAGATAACATTTCATCCTTCTGTAATTTCTTAAGAATGTTCCTCACATAGTCTTATCTTACCTTGTATTATAATTATTATACATACTATCAATGTGTATGTCTTTGTCCCTGTTAGACTGACAATTCTTAACTGTAGTGCTGATATTCATTTATATTTTTACCAGAACCCAGTGCCAAGACAAAAAATAAAAAAAAGATAAGGGGAGAAATGCCAGATGTAGGTGATGGGGAGGAAGGCAGCAAATCACACTGCCACGTGTGTACTTATGCAACAATTTTGCATGTTCTTCACATGTACCCCAAAACCTAAAATGCAATAAAATAAATAAATGGGGAGAAAAAAAATTGTCTTGTTAGCTGAATAAATAAATAAATAAATAAATAAATAAAAGATTCAATAACATCTAGTTTTAACACCCCATGTTCTCACTCATAAGTGGGAGCTGAACAATTAGAACACATGGACACAGGGAGGGGATTATCACACACCGGGGCCTGTTGGGGGTGGGAGGAATAGCATTAGGAGAAATAACTAATGTAGATGATGGGTTGATGGGTGCAGCAAACCACCATGACATTTGTATACCTATGTAACAAACCTGCATGTTCTGCACATGTATCCCAGAATTTAAAGTATAATAATAATAATAATAATAATAAAAACCTCTCAAGACATGGAAGAGATATGGATCCTTGCCAATGTACAGTTCTTAGCAGTTTTTCAATTAGGATACACATCTAAAATTATTTGAAGATTCATACACTCATACCTGTTTCTGCTCCCATGACTGACAAAAATACTCTGGATATAAAAATGTTTATTTTCTGTAGACAGCCCAGAAATAATGTTGTATTCCGATAACCATCTGATCTTCAACAAAGTTGATGAAAACAAGCAATGGGGAAAGGATTCCCTATTCAATGAATGGTGCTGGGATAACTGGCTAGCCATGTGCAGAAGATTGAAGCTGGACCCCTTCCTTATACCATATACAAAAATCAACTCAAGATGGATTAAAAACTTAAAACCTAAAACTATAAAAATTCTGGAAGGTAACCTAGGAAACACCATCCTGGACATAGGCCCTTGCAAAGATGTCATGATGAAGCCACCAAAAGCAACTGCAACAAAAGCAAAAATTGACAAATGGAACCTAACAAACGAGAGTTTCTGCACAGCAAAATAAACTATCAACAGATTAAATGGACAAGCTCCCAAAATACTGGGAGACAATATTTGCAAACTATGCATCTGACAAAGTTCTAATATCCAGAATCTTTAAAAAAAATTTTTTTGAGATGGAGTTTCGCTCTTGTTGCCCAGGCTGAAGTGCAATGGTGTGATCTTGGCTCAATGCAACCTCTGCCTCCCAGGTTCAAGTGATTCTTCTGTCTCAGCCTCCTGAGAAGTTGGGACTACAGGTGCAGGCCACCACGCCCAGATAATTTTTTGTATTTTCAGTAGAGACAAGGTTTTACCATGTTGGCTGGGCTGATCTCGAATTTCTGACCTCAGGTGATCTGCCAGCCTTGACCTCCCAAAGCGCTGGGATTACAGGTGTGAGTCACCATGCCTGACCTAATATGGAGAATCTATAAGGAACTTAAATTAACAAGCAAAAAACAACCCCAATAAAAAGTGGGCAAAGAACATGAAGAAACATTTTTCAAAAGAAGACATACATATGGCCAACAAGTATATGGAAAAAAGCTCAAAATCACTAATTGTTTGAAAAATGCAAATCAAAACCACAATGAGATAGTGTCTCACACAAGTCAGAATGGCTATTACTAAAAAGTCAAAAAATAGCAGATACTGGCAAGGTTGCAGAAAAAAGGGAATACTTATACACTGGCGGTGGGAATGCAAATTAGTTCAGTCATTGTGAAAAGCAGTGTGGCAATTTCTTAAAGAACTTAAAATAGAAGTATCATTCAACCCAGCAATCCCATTATTGGGTATACACCCTGAAGGAATGCAAATCCTTCTATCATAAAGACATGCAGGGGTATGTTCATTGCAGCACTATTCACAAAGACATGAAATCGACCTAAATGCCCATCAAAGGTAAACTGGATAAAGAAAATATGGTACATATATACCATGGAATACTATGCAGCCATAAAAAAACAACAAGATTATGTCTTTTGCAGCAATATGAATGGACCTAAGGCCATAATCTTAAACTAATACAGGAACAGAAAACCAAATACCACATGTTCTCACTTCTAAGTGGGGGCTGAACTTTGAGTACAGATGAATACAAAGAAGGGCATAACAGACACTGAGGCCCACTTGAGGCCATGACAGGTAGGAGGAGGGAGAGGATTGAGAAACTACCTATTGGGTACTCTGCTTATTACATGGGTGATGAAATAATCTGTATGTCAAACCCCTGTGATATGCAATTTACCTACTTATCAAAGCTGCACATGTACCCCTGAACCTAAAAGTTAAAAAAACTTAATATTCTAACCTTTAAATTTTTTAAAATGAGAAAATATTTGCATAATTCTAATGAACAGTCTTATAATAAAAAGCTGATTGGGAGAAAACCTCTATAAACCAATCCCAAGAAACATTAATATTAACATGGGGTTCTTACCTGTATTGATATGTATATAAGATCAGAAGTTTCCTAAAACAAGAAAAAAAGAGCTTCTTCAAGTACTTACCAGAAGTGGTATTATTTGTAAAGCATTTTTGATGGATGGGTTTTTGCAAATGTTTTCTTGAACATCTGAAATAATTATACCATAATACCAAAATAATGTAGTTACATATATTGAAATAGAAGAATGACTAAAGAATCAAATATTAAATTCTGATGTATCAAAATATTCAAAATTGAATAACAGCCTTTTTTCCTATCACCCCCAGAAATAGTCTTTATGCTTCTATTAGAACCAAAAATGAAGGTAATTTGATTAGAAACAATTACATAAAGTTTATGTTGATAAAAGAGAATTCCTTGTACTTTGATTATTTTATAACAATCTTCATTCAAATGTTATGTTTTATTTTTCCTTTCTCTTTTTTTAATAAAAGAAAAGTTAATTTCATCCTTGGAGCCACTCTGTAAAAATGAGATGTTTATTTAGTTATTGAGGCATAAAAAATTGAGTAATTTTGGTTGCCTTTTCAATTTTTAGATTTTTGTTTATATAATAGCAAGCATCTGAGCAAAAGAAAAATAATTCAGGCAGAATCTTTTACATGAAGCATTTAAATATGAAGATGTATCAAACAAAAATTTAAAAAATTCTCCAATTATTGACTTAAATTTTTAAATCTTTATCTGCATAATTTTACATCTTAAACTCATAGCCTTAGTTCCCTGTTTCTTTCATAATTGTAGCTCCCTACTTTTTATTAATATATTATTTTAAAATTTGGTTTTAATTTAAAAAGAGTATTTAAAACATATTTGCATATTTTAATTAACAATTATAAAGCTACTGTCTGTGTAACCACCTAGATTAAGAAATTTGAACGTTATCACTACCTTAGAAGCTTCCTGTCCCTTCCTGCCTCCACAATGCTCTATGGATTTCATTCCCTTCCCTCACCCAAAGAGGTAATTAACCCACTATACTGCTTTGTTTATCATTTTAGCACATATTATTTTGCAAGGATGCAAAATAGTATTTTTACCTGTTTTTAGACTTCACATAAATATAATTGTACTGTCTTTATTCTCCTGTGATTTACATTGTTTTTGCCCCAAATTATAAATTTTTAGATTCATCAATGAACATTGTGTAGCTGTAGTTTATATTCTTTATGTTTTTTCTCTTGCTGTTTCAGTTTGGAAAATTTCTATTGACCTGTATTCAAATTCACTGATTCCTCAGCAGTGTCTTGAGTCTAATAGTGAACACATATATAACATTTTCCATTTCTGTTATAGTACTTTTCTTTCTCACATACCTGTCTCTTATAGTTTTCATCTCTCTGCTGAAATTCTCCATCTGTTCATGTATGTTGTCTCTCTCATGTTATTCATCTTTCCCACTATAACCTTTAACATATTAGTCATAGCTATTTAAATAACCTGTCTGATAGTTCTAACATCTTGATCATCTTTGTATCTCATTGATTACTTTGTCCCTTGATAGTTTTTTTTCTATTACTCTTTCTGTATGTCTCATAATTTTTGACTGAATGCTGGATATGACTTTTGGAATACTGGGAACGGAAGTAGATATTATTTGTGTCTGGAAATGAGTATATCCACTTCTGCTAGGTCATTGGAGTGTATGTGTGTATGTAGTATGTATGTATAGATGTTTAAAAACTTTGTAGGGGGAATTTGAGCTGCCTTTTTTTTTTTTTTTTTTTTGTGAGATAGGTTCTCTGTTGCACAAGCTGGAATGCAGTGGCATGAACACGGCTCACTGCAGCCTTGACCTCCCTGGGCACAGGTTATCCTCCCACCTCAGCCTCTGGAGTACCTGGGACCATGGACATGTGCCACCGTGTCTGGCTAATTTTTTTTTTTGAATTTTTTGTAGAGACAGGGTTTCACTATGTTGCTTAGCTGGTCTCAAACTCCTGGGCTCAAGCGATCTGCCTGCCTCAGCCTCCTTGAGTGTATTTGGGTTTTGTTGTTGCTGTAGCCAACTACAGTACATTACTAACTTCAAATTCCTTTGGTGTTATTTTGTACTTATGCAGGGGTCTTGGAGAGTCACCCCGCCCCTTGAAATGTTCCTGTTCTGTCCTCATATTTTAGCCTTCCTGCATGGGGACACAGTAGAAGGGATATCTCTCTATGCTCTTGCCCGTCTCCCAGTAGCAGATTTCTGTTATTTGTTACTTGGTACTTGTTGGTCTGGTAGTGGGCAAGTAGGGTAATTTTTCTCTTGTCCTGGTCCAGGCTCAATCTTAAGCAGACCTTATGTGCCCTCCCTTTTTCCTGCTCCTCCTTCCCATGACAGTTAACTTTGCCCTGTATCTTTGGCAGGTTTTGTGCAAGAGCATTTTAGACCCCTCCTCCAACAGTAGGATACCTCTAATGGTTTTGGTCCAGAAATGTTTCTTACCCCTCTCCCAGGGGTAGAGACTTTTTTCCTTTACTTTTTCCCTATGCTCACTAACTCTTCACCTGTGCCTTGAGAGCAATTAACAAGGTATGCTTCCTCTGTCCCTGATGGTCTTTATACTGCAGGGGGAACGGTTCTGCATGGCGGGCGGGGCGGGGGGACTTCATGCCTTTCCTACAGCAATGGCTGCTGCCCTTTGTCAGGCCTGCACTATTGAGAAAGCATTTCTCTTGTCTCCTGCTCTGCCTCCAGTTTTTCTCATGAACACTCAGTGTAGATCCATGGAGAAGAATCTGAGTAGGTGTGAAATTCCTTTGTGCCTATGGCTCCCAGAGGTTCTACATCCTCATTGTAGTCCTCATTCATCTTTTAGCAATTTGTTGAAAATTTAAACAGAATTTCTAATATCAACTTGTATGGAACTTTACACTTCTCTCTCTCATATTCTCCCATGGGTGAGAAAATATTCACGACCTGTCTCTCTTTAGATGTTTCTGTGTTTCCTTGGATGCTAGACCACTTGGTTGTGATGTGACCTCAGCTCTGTCATTGGCTCAAGGAAAGTTATACTTTTGTCATTTATCTTTTATTGTTCTTAGAAAAGGATTGATACATTCTGGCCTTCTACATTTTAGGCAGAAATAGAATCCACACACACAAAACACAGACATATAGTATGTGTGTGGCTCTGAGCCACAGGTGATTTTTGCCACCCAGGGGAAATTTGGTAATGTCTGGGAGTACTTGATTGTCATGATAGGGAAGTGTTATGGCATCTAGTGAGTAGAGGCCAGAAATGCTGCTGAACACGTTACAATGCACTAGACAGTCCCCCACAATAAATAAGGAATTATCTAGCTCAAAATATCAGCGGTGCTGAGGTGGAGAAACCCTGATAGATACATAAAACATTTCTATTATTGTTCACATCTAAATATTTAAAAATTCCTATTATGATGTTTTTTTCTTCAGAATCATGTTTTATTTAGAAATATGTTTCTTAATAATTATCTTTTGTTTAGATTTTAGGTAAATTGCATTGTGGTTAGAGGATGTGGTCTGTGTGACTCCAATCTTTGAAATGTGTTAAGGTTTGTTTTATGGTCTTATATATGGTTCATTTTATAAAGGTTGTATGTGTACTTACAAAGAACGTGTCCCTCTGATCAGGTTTGTTAATCATATTCAATTTTTATACATCTATTTGTTTTTAAAAATCTATTTGTTCTATCAATTACTGACAATGGCATGTTAAAATCACTCATCATGGTTAAAAATATTTTATATATTTTGAGGCTATGTTCTTAAGTACATACAAAAATCTTACGTATTTCTTCTGAATTAAAACTTTGCTCATCATAAAGTGTTCTTTTTTTATGTCTAATAAACCTTTCTACTTAAAAGTGAATCAACCCAGCTTTCCTTTGGTTAGAACTTGCTTGGCATACCTTTTCCATTTTTTTTTGCTTTGAGTTTTTTAATATTCTTATGTTTTAAATGTATTGTTTATAAACAAAATATACTTTCAATGTAAAGTTCCATTTAACAACCTCTTTTAATTGTAGCGGTTATTACATTTACAGGTATTATAAATATATTTGTACATATAATTTTATAGTATTTCTTCTATGTTTATTTTTCTCTCCTCTGTTGCTTTATTTCTGATTGATTTGTCAGTTTTTACATACCACTTTCCCTTCTCTACCAGTTTAGATGTTGTATCTTACATTTCTAGTCCTTTAGTTGTGACTCTAGTAATTATCACAGCCATACTTCAATTATCAATATCTAAAATTCATCTATGACTTTAAACAATTCCCTAACAAATATCCTAGTATACTTTAACTTCATTTATGCCCTCCCAACTTGCATATTATTATTGATAGGTATTTTCATTCTAAGCTTTTTCTCTTTGAAACATATACTACTTTATTATATTTATTGTTTTATGCAAAGTTTGTTGAAATTTACTCACTCATACTGTCCATCTGAGGTTAACTGCACTTTCTGTCTGGTGAAGTGTAGTTTGAATTTCCTTCAGTAAGTCTGCTGTTAACAAAGTCTCTTGGTTTTTGTCTGAACATATTTTTAATTCACCTTCCTTCTTGAGAGACATTTTCATGTTAAGAAGGTGTTAAATTTGAGAGTTACTTTCTCTCAGCACATTGGACACACTGTCGATATCTCCTGATTTTTTTCATGGTTTTCTGCCTTTTTCGTTGCTGATTAAAATTAACTGTGATGTATCTTAGTGGTCATTTCATAAAACTCTGAAATGTGTTGGGCTGTTGAATCTGTAGGTTGGTAATGTTCAACAAATTGAAAAAGTTGTCAACCATGATCACTTTAGATATTGTCTCTGGCCTTTCAGACCTTTTTATTTACTCTTTTGTGTCTTTTTTTTTCTTTTTGTTAAAGATGGGGTTTTACCATGTTGGTCAGGCTGGTCTTGAACTCCCAACCTAAGGTGATCCGCCTGTCTTGGCCTCCAAAGTGCTTGGATTACAGGCATGAGCCACCACGCCTGGCCTACTCTTTTGTGTCTTTTAAGCTCTATATGGTATTTTCTATCTCTTTATCTAAAATATATTGTGGATAAATTTCTTTGATTCATATTCTAGTTTACTAATTCTTTCTTCAGATGTCTGTAATCTTGAATTCATCTACTGAATTCTGTGTTT